ATTATTATATATATATATATATATATATATATATATATATATATATTCAGAAACTATTCTTTCTTCTTTTTTCATTTTTTTTTCTAATCAGACATTAGCCAGACGATAAGCAATCCACGCCCATCCCTCTCACCTCTAAACACAGCACTCTTTGTTCTTTGTTTCTGCATCAAAATTCCAGGCAGATGAGTGCTCCACCTCTTACCTTGCATCACTTATTTTTTTTTTATAAAAATTCCATGACAAAGTAGCTATTCTCCCAATGAGAAATCCTTTTCACCTCCTCTCTTTTCCCCATCGAAAATCCATCCATCTGTCCCACATTTCGCCTTCTCTCCATATTCCCGTTAGTTTTTCATCAAAAAATTCCCAGACAAAACACAGATAATTGGCCCTTTGTCCTTCATTTTCAAAAAAATGAATGGAGAAAACCGAAGAGAGAAGAGGGATTCTATATTTTATAATAATTTATATATTAATATTAATATCAAGAAACAAGTGCATTTATCACATTATTGAGCTATAATAATTCAATTGTGCAAAGTAACAAAACTCATTCAAATGTTAAATCAAACATCTAATCTAAAACCACGACAGAAAAAAGGGAGGGAAAAAAAAAAAACATGGGAGGAAGGAACAAAACCGCGCAAAGAAACAATAGAGAACGAAGGCAGAAACGGATACACAAAAGAGAGGAAGCAATTAAACGAGAAGAATCGAGCAGAAGGGTGGAAACGAAAAGGAAGAGGCTATACGGCGAGACGCGTAAGCGTAGACTCGTCGATAACAAGGAGAATGGGAGAAGAAAGAGAGAGATAGTGGAGGTATATGTTCGTTGCGACGGTAAGAAAGAAAGGGAAAGGAAAAATAGTCGGTAAGACAGACAGGAAACGACATGGAAAAGCGTGGAAGTGAAGCGTGGGCAGAGCATGCGAGAGACAGTCTCGTTAGTCTCTCATCAAAACAAATCGCGCCAGCTTAAAATACCGAGGTATCTTCCCTGTTTCTCTTTAAAGGGTAGAAATTATTCGAGGGCATAAGAGAGAAAGGAGATGAAGAGTTTAAAAAAAGAATCTGAAAGAAAATTTAGATACGTTTAGAAAACGGAGATCTTCTTCTTTTTAGAATAGGTAAATAGAGTTTTCTATTTAATGGAAATTATGAAATAATGAATGCAAGCAAGTAAAGTGCAGATATTTTGGTATTTGTGTATAGAAAATTTATAGAATGCACATAAAAAGACACGATATATATTCAAAGTGAAGTAATAGATAATAAGATATCTAAAAAAATGAATTGCTGTTCAAGCATTCATATTTCTAATGTTAATAATAGAAATTAAAGTTAATGTTAATATAATAGAATTAAAAATTAATAAAAATTTGAATTTGCATAAATATTCGTAGTTTAATAATAAGCGTGTAGTAGAACGTGAAATTAAATAATTGACAATTGAACTCTTGATTTCATTCACTTCATATGAGTGAAAAATAAGAAAGAAAAATATTTCTTATGAATAAAATGGAAAAAAGTGTTTGTGTTTTGTTATGTATGATATATATTTTTTTAGTTTTTAAATAAATGCATATGCATGCTTTAAAAATTGGAGTCAGATTTATTCCCAAGAGTAGCTAGGAATAATTGTGATATTTAAAAGAGAAGAAAGTGTAACAGTAAACTGGACATTGTTATATTTAATTTCATTGATTTTGTAATACATGAAAAAAAAAAATATAAATCAATAGTTAATTAAGAAATGAACTAATTACTCTATCTTATTTCTTCCAAAGATTTTAATAATTTTTTTTAATAATAAAATAAATAAATGTAAAAAGTAATGAAAGTGTTATAAATGAATAAAATATTATAATTGTATATAACATTATAATATTGTTCATTTATTATTATCTATTTTACAATTTTTATTATTATAATATATTTATTAATCGATATTTTGATGATGAATGATAAGTTGTAATTTCATTTGCTGAAATTTTTTTGAAATAATAGACTTAATTAACACTGTTTAATATTGATGATAATAATTGCTATATATAATATTTTATTCAATATTATTTGTTTTCCATAAAAATTTTTCATAAATATTAATTTTCTTCTCTTCTGATTTCAATTATTTTTGTTTAAGTATTATTCAAAATTTTTCTTTGATCTTTTTGAAATCCTTTATTTAAATCCTGTCTTTGATAAAAATTCCACTTCATTTCTTCTCTCTTTTTATTTTTATGTTATTGTTTTTCGATTCTATTGTTTTTTTTTTCCATTTCTTCTTTTCTTTTTTAATTTGATTTTTTTGTTTTCTAATCCCATTTATTTTATACTTCCAAGTTTCAGCTTTTATTTATTTATTTGTTCTTTTTTTTTTTTTAAATAAAAACAATACTCGATTTTTTTCTTTTTTTATAAAATGTTTTTCAGCTTCTTGTACGTGATTATTTCTTTCATTTTTTAATCTCGTTCATTTTAATCTTTCATTTTCTTTTGTTTTACTTTCTTATATGTAAAAAAAAAAAAATTAATTATTAACTTTACAAAAAAAATATTCGTTTCTCTTTTTTTTATTTTTATTTTTAATATTCTTATTCATTTTCTTTTCAAGTTTTTATTAAAGAAAATACTTATTCTAATCTTTCAAGTTCCAATTTTTTATTATTTTTTAATATAATAGTTTTCTTCTTTAACTCTAGTTGATCTCCCTTTTACTTTTTCTATATTTTTAATTCTTTTCTTTTATCATTCTACTTTCATTTTTCAAATTTTACAAAAAGTATTCATTTTTCTTTTTCTATTCTCTATTTCTAATTTTACTTTCTCCGTTTTTAATTTTACCTTTTCTACTTTTCTGCCTATTCTAATTTTTCAAATTAATTTTCATCCCCTTTCATCTTCTTTGTTCGCATTATTTTTCTCTTTCTCAATCTTTATCTTTCTCATTTTTTAAATCTTCTTTTAATCTATCTTTGCTCTCTGTACTTCTCTGCAAATTTCATAAAAAGTATTCGTTTCTGTTCTTTTTTATCCTCTTTCATCTTTGCTTTTATATTACTTGGTTACATTATTTTTTCTCTTTTTCATCTTTCATCTTTCCAACTTTTTAATCTCCACTCTCTTCATTTTTACTTTCCACATTCCTCTAATCTCTATTTCTCCTTATTTCCATGTTTCATCGCTCAAACAACATTTCTCATCTTCCTCACCCTTTACGAAGGATTTCTCCCTCTATTTACCTTATTCTCTTACAATTTGTCCGTGTCATTATTTATTTTCCCCAATCCTTTTGCCTTTGTTTAATTGTTTAAATTGTACATCTTACCTTTCTCGATGGTTCACCTTGTTTTCTTCCCTTTCATCCTTCCATTCTTTTTCTTCCCTATATTCCAATGTTGATGACTCATGTTGTTAATGCTTCTTCTTCTATGTTAGTGTATTTTATGCCAGATTTTTTCTTTTGTTATTCCGTATTTCAAATTCATCCCTTTCGTTTGTCTTTATAATTGATATTCCTCTTCCTGTCATTAGAATTCATCAGAATATTTTATATTTTATTTTTCATTTCTCGTTGTTTTCATTCTTCATTTCTTTCTTTCTCTTTAATATTTTTCGAAAATTTTGTTGCAATTTAAAAATTTTTGTATTTTTTATCATCTTTGAGAGAAAAATTAGAATATTAATATTAATAGATACCCGACAGATATCAAGATCATGAAATAAAAGATCAGATATAAATTTTATTAAAAGTTTTATTTTTGCTTATAAGAATTATATTATTGTGATTTATTCTTGTTTTCATTCTTGTTGTTATTTTCTTATTTTTTTTATTTTTTCGAAAATTTGTACGATTTTTTTTTTTTTTTACGAATTTCACGCAATTTTTAAACTTCTTTATGTCGGAAGAGGATTAATTTCAGTTTAAGAAGTTTAATTCTAAAATGAAATAAAAAATTTTGCTTTCTGAAATATTTTAGCAGCTAAGATTATAAGACAAGCGTTAGGACAAGAATTTAAAGAGTTCTAAGATCTAAATTTCGTGAATTAGAATTTAACGAATTTTCGCAATGCAAATTTGTCACGTTGATTCAAGTGATAAGTTACGTTTATTTGATTGTCGCAGGGTAGATACGGTGTTACTTTAAATTCCAATGCCAATTAAGCTAAATGCACTACCAAATCTACTTGAGAGCTAGCAGAAGCCAGTGCAAGCTAGCATCTAGATGCGCGGATAACAGTATAGTACATGTGATACAATTTAGAACCGCTACTCTCGCCTCGAAGACACAATGGCGCCATTTTGAGAGGATATTGAACGAGCCATCTAATTCCTCTTGACAAAAAGGGAGACAAGAAACTTTTATCTCTTGATTAAAAATCTTATCTCCGCTTAATACTATTTCTCTTCGTTTGTAACCACAAACTTTTATCGAAAAAATTTATTTTAAAAACTGTTCGCATACGATTATATGCATTACTCGTAAGTTTCTAAGTTTTCTTAGAGAAAGAGATTTGCAAATTTTTGCGAATTCTACTTGTACTTTTAAAAAGAATATCTTAAGACTATTTGGATTACTTGCTCGAGTTTGTATCATATTTTTAAATTTGAATTATTTTATTATATATATATTTTTTTTATATCAAAGTCTCTTTTGATTTTGTTGATTTTTCTTTTTGTATAATATAATCTTTTTAATTTTGTTTGGCAATAGATTAATAATTCAGATAAATTCAATAATGAATATATCTAGTGGCATGATATAATGTCATAAGCTAATTTTAGACTTCGAACTTACTTCGATTCATGGTATATATTCAAAAATATATTCTAGTTTCTTGCGTGGACGATGCGGAAATGAATGTATAATACATCCTTCTATCACGTAATTGTCCCGATTTAGTACTGAATTATCCATGATTCATTATTTCATATGATAGATCATCTTGTTATATCTTTTAATTCTAAGTCATCTTATGAACTATTATTTGATTTTCTTTTAAATTTGATTATATAAAAAAAAAGTTATAAAAAGATATAGTTATAATACTTTGGAATATAGTTAATTTAATTTAAACATAATCATAAAAATTTTAATCATAAGAATATTAATTTTTTGGGATACAATAATTATTTTCTAATAATTACAGTTTTCCAAATTTTTTAAATATATTTTAAAACTAATTAGATTTTCGTATTAAAATTGTATACCAGATGATTTTCCAGATAAAAATTTTTATTTATTCGAAATGAAAATATATAATTTAAAAATATTTAATCGATATGTATATCCATTGATTAAGAAAACATGCATTGATTTATTATTTTTTATTATTTTCCTCTCACCTCTTTTATTTCACATCCATAATTTCAGACAAAGAAATTTGAATTATCTAAACATCTCTATCCAAAGAGATCAGATTAATATTATTAAAGGAATATTATTATAAAGCATTACTACGTTACTCGTTTACCATTCCAATATTACTCTATACATTCCTCTCAAAATTTCAAAGCCAACCGATGGTACTTCATAAAAAAATGAATCTTACAAAAAACAATCGCACAATTTTTATTTCTCTTCGCCACCAAATTAACAAAAAAAAAAAAAATTAATCAATATTCCTTCAAACTTCTTAAAATTGCCCTACACATCCCTACACGTTCAACAAAACAATTTCTAATTATTCTCGAGATGTTCTCCCTCGAGAGCAACGTTCATCAAGCATCCTTCTTGCCTTCCACCAAATATCAATCGCAAAAAGCCACGCATCCCCTCCCCCTCCTCTGCCACTCGACTCTCCATGGAAGAAGAAGCTCGTAAATTCATAGCGCGTCGCCAGATGTTCTCCTCCTTCTCTGTTTCCCAGTTTCTTCCGCAGTTCCGTGGCCAACGTTTATCCCCGCACTCCTTTCTAGTTTCTACGTTCCACGGCCCGCCCTCAACCCCTTTCATCCTTTGTCAGAGCACGGATATAATTAATTCCGGTATATCTGGTGCGCGGATGGGAGAAACGGGGGCACCAGAGGCATTGTTCCTTGACTCTGTCACCCCTTTGTCCTTTGACGGTGTGCCCTCGTCAAACGAGAACCGACCCCTCCTCCCCCTCCTCGCGAAAAGGGAAAGTACGCAGTGAAAGAACGTAGGAGGAGGTAACTCGTCGATTACGAGGAGAGAGATTAGCGGATAGGTTAAAAGTTTTTTAATCGAGATTTTGTTGTTTGAAGTTTCTGGACGCTTGTGACGATGTTTGAGATGTTAGAGTATATTTCAAGTTGAATAGAAATATGTTGCTTTTGCTTTTCAATTGAGATTCTGGTGTTGTTCAAAGTGTGTGGATATTTGTAATGCTGTTTAAGAATCGAAATATCTTACGTAAAGATGTAAATGTGTTAAATATTTTCCCGATGACTCCAGTTATTTGAATATGTGAATTATTTTCGATCAAGGTCTGGATTCAATCTGTTATATCTGGCCTAGCAAAGTGTAATGACTGTGTGTTTCTAAAAATATTAATATCTCGTATTTAGGATATATAAAAAGTTGAATTGAATTTTAAAATAGAAATTTTAGTGTTAATTTAAACATGTTTAAAAATTAGAGTTCATAGTTATAAATTCTGCGTAGGTTTTATGAATATTATAAGATTTAAATAAAATA